TATTCGTTCTTTTAAAGACTTTCCTTCTTTAGAAGTCTTTCTTTCATAAATGTCATGGAATTAAAAATTAAAATCCAAAAATATTTTTATTTTTCTTTAGAAGTACTTTTGTAAATTTTTTTTTAAAAAACAAAAACTCGAAAATCCAAAATATTTTCTTAAAAGTGTCTCTTTCGAAAATTAAGAGGCGACAACCAAAATCCAAAGAAAATATTTTCTTTCTTATTTAGAAAAGAGAAAACAAATGAAAATTCAAACAAAAATATTTTCTTCTGAAATTCTCAAAGTTCCAATCAAAAAATGGAATTTTTAGAAGTCTTTCTTTCAAAAATAAAAATAGAGTCAAAAATCAAAATCTAAAAAAAAAAATCCTTCTTCTTTTAAAGCATTTTTTTTAGAAAAATCCAAAAGAAACAAAAATCAAAAAAAAAACTTTATTCTTTTTCCAAAAAGAAAAAAAGGGGAGTTAGTTTACTTACTCTATTCACGATGGCCCGAACTACGCCGGTTTGATTCTCACAGGGTGTGAGATACGTAGGCAACCCTCATCGGGTCCAACCTCCCCTTTTTCAGAAATAGCCAAAATGTCAGAATTTTAATTTCATCATAAATGAGTTGGGTGATGTCGCTTTTGTCAAATGTAGCCGAATGTTCCCGGAAGCGACGCGCCGGAAGGCTGACTTTGCATAAACGGCCGCTTTTGGTCATTTTCTGAATTTTGACCAATTTGCCCAACGGCCTTAGAATCCTCGTCCCCGAGGCTCTGTAAGGCCGTGCTCCCAATGTCGGGCTACTATTTTAAAAAAAACGGTCATAAATAAATCAAGCGATACTGTTTTGTCAAAAATAGCCAAATGTTCCCGAAAGGGACGGCGGAAGGCTGACTTTGCATAAACAGCCACTTTCGATCATCCTTTAGAGTTTTTGATCGGTTGACCCTCACAGCCTTAAAATCTTCATCCCCGAAGTGTTGAAAGGCCGTGTTTGAAAATCGGATCTTTCTTTCTAAAACATAGTCAAATTATCTTTGAGTCAAATAATCTTTTGCTTAAATCACCCTAATAAATGTGCAGGATGAGCACAATGCAAAATGAACACTTTTCGATAATGGCTAATATCTCTGTCAAGTTGCGGCTATGGTGGGATGATCTAGGTAGTGAAGGGCAAGATGAGGTCAAGAAATATCTGAAAGGTCTCACGGGTTTATTGGAAATCCAGCCTCGGGGAGATATCATAAGAGCTTTGGTCACCTACTGGGACCCGACACACAATGTCTTCCACTTCTCCGATTTTGAACTCACCCCGACTCTGGAGGAAATAGCCAGGTACATCGGAAATGTTGAAGTTCCATTGATGCAAAAATACCTGGTTGCCCCAAGAGCTGTCACTGTGCATCGTTTTCTAGATTCATTAAAGATACCCAGGACGGTCCATAACCCAGATTTGGCCGCAGGTTTCTGTAGTCCGCGCTTTTTATACGACAGATATGGTCATGTAGGAGGGTTCAACAATCCGGTTAACAAGCTATGCAGCAAAGGTAACCGTCAGAAGTGGGATGAGCATAAACGAGTGGCTTTCATGATAGCATTTTTGGGCCTTTTAGTGTTTCTGAGGAAAGACGGAAACATTGATCTGAAAATATCCGGGGTTGTCACTACTTTGCTCACTCAAAATGAAAGCACTCTCGCGCCTATGATAGTATCTGATATCTTTCGAGCTCTCACAGCCTGCAAAGCTAGAGGGAATTTTTTCGAGGGGCGTAATTTGCTGCTACAAATATGGATGACTGAACATCTCTGCCGCCGTTTCGAGCTTTTGAGTTATGGTTCCTCGAAGAAGACTTGCATAGAAGAGTTTTACATGAGAATCAAGGAGGTCAGTCTACCCGAGGGAGTTACGGCATGGACGACATTCTTTCGAATCCTCACCGCCAGCCAAATACAATGGACACTGGGATGGTTGCCTGTTGATGAGGTCATATATATGCCGACCGCTAGGACCCACTTTCTATTGATGGGACATAAGAGCATTCAGCCTTACGCGCCCTATCGAGTTTTGAGACAACTCAGGAGATGCTAGATAGTGCCGCACGAGGAAGATCTTAGTGCTCAAACAATTGAGATTAGCCCTGACGGACAATTTCCTGAAGCAAAAGTCCGCCAGATCTGGAATGAATGCCAATGTTTAAAAGCAGATACTTGCATGCAGGATCGGGCCAAAGGTGAAGTAGCACCAGGGTACCTTGTGTGGTACAGAAGAGAACTTGAGCATAAAAGGCCGGCTAAAAGACCCCATATCCTGAATTTTGCCGAGTCATCACAGGAGCAATGTGATTGGTTAGCAAAAGAAAAAGACTATCGGTTTGAAATCAGCAAACTGAAACAACAAATTGAAGGTCTAAAATTTGAGCACAACGTGCAAGTTGCTACTGATCTGGGAGAAAAGAACAAGTTGACCCAGGAAAACGAGACGCTTAGGGCCCAAATCCAGCAGATAAGGATGGCCGCCGATAACCAACAAAGGAGCCGGTCAGATGATCGACTGATAAAAGGTTTAAAAATGAAAATTGGTGAGTGCCGGAGTAAGTCAGAGAATCTTGAGAATACCATAGCAGGACTCGAGACACACTGGGCAAAAAGAACAAAAGAGCGCAACCGGCATCTGCAGCAGTTGAAAAGGGACCACAAGCAAGCCATTGCCAATTTGAAGAGAAAGGTGGCCACTCTTGAGGACAGAGCGTTTGAGCAAGCCCGAACCTTTGAAGCTGAAATAGACGTTGCTATGATTTACTGGCCCAAATGGAAGTAGAAATTCAGCAGTGGCAGAATCAACATCTCCGGGATTCTTGGGTTTTGAAGGCCCGTAATGATCAAATAGAGCGCCTACTCGTAGAAAAGAGGCAAACCAGGGATAAGATTAAGACCATTGCCCATGCCATCATTAGGAGGTGTCTACGATGCGAAGATATGACCCGCACTACCTTCTTCTCGGCAGTGATGATTTATGACAAGCAAACCATGTATGAGCTGGAACAACTTGAAAGGGACCTCGCCCCTAAACCCGCGGCGAGGCCGAATGATGCCCCGCGGTCGCCAAGTTTTAAGGCTTTAATTTATTTATAGGTCAAGTCTGTATTTTCCGTTTTGGCGTCTTTTGTTTGTCTTTTCGCATCAGGGTGTATCAGTAGTTGTTGAGTTTGTATTTATTTCAAGTCTGTTATTCTCCCTTTTTCAAAAATGTTAGTTTGTAATAGATTGTTTCTTTATTTTTACGCTTGTTTGTCTTGAACTACGTAATGATCTGATTCACGCGGCATCGTGATACGTAGGCAATCCTCATCGGATCCGGTCACGTTTTTAACTTCAAATAATAATAAAATTAAATATATATATATATATAATAAAAAATAATAATAAATAAAGGGGAGCATAAAGAGAAGCCGGAATGACGCATGTCATCGATGCAAACATGTAGAAATTCACTTAACTATATAGGTGCATCACACCCCAATGTGAGATTACCTGTCTGTTATTTGTTTCAAACTAACCGTTTGTTTGCTGCTAAGTCCAGGTTTTTAGAAAGGTGGTTTGGTTTGGTGGAGGTCTGGCCTCACATTCATACTTTACGAGGTCAAAAGGAAGTGTTCAGCTACCCGTCACTAAATTGAGAGGAAATATTCACACTTACTTCACGAGATCAAAGGGAAGTGTAGAGATGTCTTCAGAAATTCCTTTGCCAACAATTCCTGTCTCTGAAGAGAGTTCAATCTCGGCCATCCCAACTTCCGAATCAGCAACTGCTGAAGAAAACAGAATCTTGCGGCTTCGTATGTTGGAAATGTTGGATGACTGGAAGAATGGAAAAGAGCTGGCGAGTGTAATCCCTGGATTCCCCAAGTTGTTCTCTAGGACAAGTGGGACTTCCAACGTCCCCATAAATTATCCAACTACCCCATTCGGGTACCCTACCATTTCAGCCCACTCCGCTGGATCACCCTCTGATTCTTATCCCCGGATGTCAACGACAGATGTGGCTACAAACATATTCACTGCACCGCCCTGTCCAATCGTGGCACAACCCGCTACACACAGGCCTAATTTTGACTCTTCCTCATTCACATTTCAAGCACCATCCTTCTCGCTGGAACCAACTCGGTTTACCACCAGCACTCACCCTCAGCAGCCTCAATACGAGCTTACGCCTAGGCAAGACCAAAATCCCAAAGCTCTTGAACAAGATAAAATGGCAAAAAGAATGAGGAGCCTCGAGTAGAGTTTAAAAAATATGCAAGGTTTAAGCGAGCAGAAGAGTGTTTCCTATACTGATCTGTGCATGTTCCCTCACGTGCACCTGCCCGTAGGGTTCAAAACACCGAAGTTTGAGAAATATGATAGGCATGGCGATCCCATTGCTCACCTCAAAAGGTATTGCAACCAATTGCGTGGGGCTGGCGGCAAAGAAGAATTGTTGATGGCATACTTCGGAGAAAGCTTGGTGGGCATAGCCTCAGAATGGTATATGGATCAGGACATATCTCGATGGCACATTTGGGACGATCTTGCCAGAGATTTTGTAAGGCAGTTTCAGTATAATATTGACATCGCGCCAAACAGGAATTCTTTGTCAAACTTGAAGAAGAAACCCTCAGAAAGCTTCAGAGAATACGCTATTAAATGGCGCGAGCAAGCATCAAGAGTAAAACCTCCCATGGATGAAATAGAAATGGTCACTACTTTCCTCCAAGCTCAAGAATCAGATTACTTCCAAAACATGATGTCGGCCATTGGGAAACCTTTCGCATAAGCAATTAAGATCGGAGAAATGGTAGAAAATGGGCTAAAAACGGGTCGAATTCTAAGCCAATATACTATCAGAGCTACCTCCCAAGCCATTCAGGGTGGGTCTGGAGGAATAGCAAAGGGAAATAAAAGGGAAGAAACGTTCATGGCATCGTCGGGTACAAGGAGAAACTATACTCCCGGACCCCTTTTCTCAGAGAGGACCCCGCAGCACTATTACCCTCACCAAGATCTGGCATATACTCCTCAGCCATACTCGATCATGTATACTCAGCCTTATGTCCGGCCACCGCAACAAGCCAATTGGAGCCAACCTCCACCTCCCAGAAATCAGCCTCCTTACCGAAACCACTATAATCCACAACTACCCCAAAATAATTTCCGTCCTCAAGAACCCCCCAGAAGACAAACTTTCACACCCATTGGTGAACCGTATTCTACCCTATTCCCAAAACTAGTCCAGATGGGTTTCCTGCAACCAGTCTCTCAGACAAGGCACAATCCAGCATCACCTGCTTACAAAGCTGGTGTTAGGTGTGCTTATCATTCGGGAGAAGAAGGGCATGATACCAATGATTGTTGGACTTTAAGAAGGGTGGTAGAGAACTTAATAGAACAGGGAAAGATAGTATTAAGGGACGAGGAGGTCCCAAATGTGACCAACAATCTGTTGCCCGCTCACAATAATGGGCCGTTGATTGGGATGATCTGTGAGGACAAGGAGTTTGATCCTGCCCTGAAATCTATAATCGCCATTGTCGATGCAGAGAGAAATCCTAAAGCAGCCCCGAAGCAAGATAAAGGGGAAAAGAAGACTAATACTGTCAAGGTTGAGCTCGAAAAGAAGGCTGAGACAAAGACAGATAAGATGGTGCCTTCGAAGAATGAGGTTCTTTATATTCCACGAGGTTGATCAGAGAAGCCACAAAGATTCGAAATAAAAAGGGCAATACCGATGTACGTGTCGAAAGGGGCCTATGTGGTCCGGGGGACGATTAAACCGCCTCGGCTGAATGAGCCAGTGGTTATCGGACGCGTACCACAGAAGCCAATGACAGACCTGTCTACGGTACTGTAGAATTATCAACAAACATTGGTTACATACAAAGGCAAAGAAATCATGGGGGAACTTCCAGAAAATACTTCTGCTAGAAAATATTCAGACACTCAAGAGTTGAACAATGCCACACGGAAGCGCTTCCCACCCAAGAAGCCTGTAAACGCTGAAAAAGCAGAGGCTTTCTTCCAGAAGATGAATATGCTTGACTATGAAGTGGTGGATCAGTTGCGCAAATACCCTGAACAAGTGTATATGCTATCTTTGCTAATGAGGTCCGCCGAACATCAGAAGATCCTGCTCAAAACCTTGAATGAAGCGTATGTGCCGGCTGAGACTTCAGTTGAACAACTTGAAAGAATGACGGAAAGGTTCTTTGCGGTTAATAAAGTTTTTTTTAGCAAGAACGATTTGCCTCCGGAGGGAGCAGCTCACAACAAGGCTGTACATTTGACAGCCAAGTGTGAGGACTACTACGTCAAGCGAGTAATGTTGGATGGAGGTTCGGGTGTTGACATTTGTCCGCTTTCCACGCTGCAAAGAATGGAAATTGGGACCGGAAGGATTCGCCCCAATAATTTCTGTGTAAGAGCTTTTGATGGCATCAAGAGGGACACCCTCGGGGAAATTGACCTGGTATTGACTATCGGGCCGGTGGAGTTTGAAATAACTTTCCAGGTACTGGATATGTACACATCTTACAACTTTCTCCTCGGAAGGCCTTGGATTCATGCTGTAGGGGCTGTACCCTCCACTCTCCACCAAATGGTGAAGTTTGAATACGAAGATCGGGAAATTGTGGTCCACGGAGAAGACGAACAGTCTATTTATCGGGACTCGTCCATCCCATATCTTGAAGCAAGGGAAGGGAGTGAGCACACAGTTTATCAGGTTTTTGAAGTTGTGCTGGAGGAGCAGTATAATGAAAGGAGTCCTTTTCCCCAACCTTTCTTGTCTAACGCTTCAATCATGGTTGCTAAAGAAATGGTCCGATAGGGATTCAAACCGAGAAAAGGGCTTGGAAAATCGCTGCAAGGAATAACGAAACCTATCACCTTGCCTTCCACTAAGAAACTCCTTCGGATAGGCTTCCAACCTACTCCAAAAGATGAAGATTGAGCAAAGAAGAGAAAAAATGAGGGATGGAAAATGCCTCGACCATTGCCACATTTGTACGAAACTTTCGTCAGACCAAAGTACATTGAAGAAGAAGATAACGAGGCCTTTACGGCCGAAGAGATTGAAGAAATATGTTGGGCAATGAGAGAAATGTTTTACGAAACTCACATGGTTCAGCTAGGAGAAGGCACAAGCACCGCTGAGGTGCTATACATGGGGCCAAATGCTAAGCTTCAAAATTGGGAGGCCACACCGTTCCCAGTTAGGCAGGAGTCCGGGTAGACCTGTCCTGCCACCTTTCCTACATCACGAGTTATCCCAAGGTGTAACTCGGATGTTTTTCTTTTGTTTCCTGTTTTAACTTCCTGAATTATAAACCCTGTTATCTTCCCAATTCCAAGGAATAAAATCAGTATTTCATTATTTTTCCTTTATTCTTTCTGATTTTTGCTATTTTTTCTTTTATCTTTTCCTTTCAGTTATAATAATGCGGCTTTAAATAATATGACATGCTTGCGGACTTCACACCCAGATCCAAATGAGTTGTTTAATTGTGAAATAATGAACCAAGAACCGGAATATGACGAAGAAGAGGCTTTTAGGGAAATAAATCGAGAACTGGAACACTTTGAGAATAAACCTAAGCCGAATTTGAATGACACCGAACCATTTAACTTGGGAACTCTTGAAGAAATCCGAGAAACCAAAATAAGCATTCACACATATGAGAAAACGCGAGATGCAATAATTCAACTCCTCTTTGAATTTAAAGATGTGTTTTCTTGGTCATACGATGACATGCCAGGATTAGGTGTTGATCTAGTGGTGCATAAATTGCCAATCTACCCTGATTGTCCTCCAGTTCAACAGAAGCAGAGGAAGTTCAAGACTGATATCAGTGATAAGATCAAAGAAGAAATCACAAAGCAGCTGAAAACAAGAGTAATTCGGGTAGTCCAGTATACTACGTGGTTGGATAATGTAGTTCCGGTACCGAAGAAAGATGGGAAAACTCGGGTGTGTGTGGATTATCGAGATTTGAATAGGGCAAGTCCCAAAGACAATTTCCCGTTGCCCAACATCCACATCCTTGTTGATAACTGTGCCAAACATGAGATACAGTCTTTCGTAGATTGTTACGCTGGATATCATCAGGTGTTGATGGATGAAGAAGATGCCGAGTAAACCGCCTTCACTACACCTTGCGGTACTTACTGTTATCGGGTTATGCCATTCGGTTTAAAGAATGCCGGGGCAACTTACATGAGAGCCATGACTGCCATTTTTTATGATATGATGCATCAAGATATAGAGGTGTATGTAGACGACGTGATAGCCAAGTCCAGGACTCAGGACGATCATGTCCGAGACTTGAGGAAGTTCTTTGAGAGGCTGAGAAAGTACAACCTGAAGGTGAATCCGGCTAAGTGCGCCTTCGGGGTCCCATCGGGCAAGCTTCTGGGTTTCATAGTAAGCAGGAGAGGTATAGAGTTAGATCCAACAAAGATAAAGTCTATCCGAGATCTACCTCCTCCAAGAACGAAGAAAGACGTGATGAGCCTGTTGGGCAGGTTAAACTATATCAGTCGATTCATTGCCCAACTGACTAGCACATGTGAGCCCATATTCAATCTATTAAGGAAGGATGCAACAATCAAATGGACGGCTGAGTGTCAATAGGCTTTTGACAAGATCAAAGAATATCTTTCAAATCCTCTAGTTTTAGTCCCGCCAGAGCCAGAGAGACCCCTGTTCTTGTATCTGGCGGTCTTGGAAAATTCCTTCGGTTGAGTCCTCGGACAACATGACATAACTGGAAAGAAAGAGCAGGCGATCTATTACTTAAACAAGAAGTTCACCGGTTATGAAGTCAAATATACTTTGTTGGAAAGAACGTGTTGTGCTTTGACATGGGTCGCTCAGAAATTGAGACATTATCTCCAAGCTCATACTACTTACCTCATGACCAGGTTGGATCCTTTGAAGTATATATTCCAGAAACCGATGCCTACTGGGAGATTAGCAAAGTGGAAAATCTTGCTTACTGAATTCGACATAGTCTATGTCACTCGCACGGCAATGAAAGCTCAGGCGCTAGCAAATCATTTGGCTGAGAACCCGGTTGATGAGGAATACCAACCATTGAGTACTTATTTTCCAGATGAAGAAATAAACACCATAGAAGTAGTCTTGGAAGACGCTCATGCTTGGAAGATGTTCTTTGATGGGGCTGTAAACGCCAAAGGTGTAGGAATTGGGGCAATCTTAATCTCACCCACTGGTCAACACTATTCGGCTACAGCTAGGCTTCGTTTCTTTTGCACGAACAATACAGCTGAATATGAAGCCTGCATCATGGGCATGAATATGGCAATCGATCAAGATGTTGAAGATTTGTTGATTATGGGGGATTCTGATCTGATTATCCGGAAAGCCCAGGGTGAATGGGAAACTCGAGATGTCAAGCTTATTCCTTACCGGCAGCACGTGGAGGATCTCGGCAAGCGATTCAAATCAATAGAGTTCAGGTATATCCCGCGGTGTCACAATAAATTAGCCGATGCACTTGCCACCTTAGCTTCAATGTTACCTTACCCAGGCAATGCCCACATCGATCCCTTGGAAATCCAAATCAGGGAAAGACACGGTTACTGTAATGTAATCAAGGCAGGACCATGTACCCAACCATGGTACCATGATGTTAAGAGGTTCTTGAAGATACAAAAATACCCCGAACATGCTACCGGAGATCAAAAGAGAACTATTAGGCGGCGTAAGAGTGGATTCTTTTTTAGCGGCGAGGTATTGTATAAAAGAACCCCGGATCTCAACTTGTTAAGATGTGTTGACGCCGAAGAGGCAGAAAAAATCATGCATGAAGTACACGCAGGAGTGTGTGGACCTCATATAAACGGGTATGTCCTGGAAAAGAAAATCCTTCGAGCTGGGTATTATTGGATAACCATGGAGAAAGACTGTTTCAGTTTCGTCCGGAAATGTCATCAGTGCCAGGTACATGGAGATCTGATTCATGCACCTCCAATAGAGCTACATCCTATGTTGGCGCCATGGCCTTTTGTCGCTTGGGGTATGGACGTCATTGGTCCCATTGAGCCGAAAGCCTCAAATGGGCACAGATTCATATTGGTCGCTATCGACTACTTCACAAAATGGGTCGAAGCTGTCACTCTCAAATCGGTCACTAAGAAGGCCGTGGTGGATTTTGTACATTCAAATCTTATCTGTCGTTTTGCTATTCCTGCAACTATCATCACAGATAATGCGGCAAACCTGAATAGTCACTTGATGGAGGATGTANACGGATGCAGTCAAAAGGTACTATGTTTGAGTTTTCTTCGGTGATGTGTTGGCACATTTGAGATGATGAAGCCTTTTATTCCCGCTACCTAAACACTATCAACTCTTTCTACAAACCCTTTGAGCCGGTTACATTTCTTTGGCTACCCTCTTTGGAATCCAAAAGCACTATTGAAACCAAAAAAAAATCAAGAACAAAATGTTTGCCTGAACTACATCTGACTTGATTCCGAAAGGATACGTAGGCAGCCTCTCTCTGGGGTTCAGTCGCACCAAAACAAAAATCCAATTTTCCCTGAAGTTGAAACTGGGGCAGATGTTATAATGTTTTGACCACGGGCCCACCAAATGGTTCCAAAGTTGTAATTTCATCCACAATTCTTTTTACCAAAAACCGAGTGCAAGTCCTTCGGATCAAT